TTCTGCTTAAGATCGTGGTATTATCAAGAAGCTTGCTTCTTGTTTGGCTGCGTACTTTGATAACTCGTGAGTCTAGGAGTTCGAGCCTCAATTAATTTCAGGGCTCATGAGTTGGCTCAAAGTGCGGCTAGCGAGCGAGCTTGACTATCGAATTATGATCAAATCGATTTATAACTTTACAAGTTGACTTCTTGATAACTTATAAGTTTGTTATGTTATATATCTCATCACACAATACTTTGAATACATTAGAGACTAGGGTAAATATAATATATTAGCCAGAACTATTAAGCAACAGGGAATTATAGCCAGAACTATGAAAATACAAATTATTAGCCATTTCGTTAAAAACCTTAACGAAAACATTGTAAATGCTTACTGTACAAATGATTTTTTAGTGATGTGGCAATTTTTCCGGCAAATGATTTTCAGTTATGTGGCCGATGACATGACGATCTGCGTCAAAAATTTGATAACGGTAACGGGCTGTTAGCCATATCTTGATCCGCAACAATAGTTATGGCTAATAATTTGTATTTCGATAGTTGTGGCTATAATTCTCCGTTGCTTAATAGTTATGGCTAATATATTATATTTACCCTAGAAACTATGTATAAGATTTTTTAGATACTAATAACTACTAAATGACATCCAATAAACAACTAAAATTTATAGGTCTTGTATAATTTATAGGTTATATATATCATCACATATGATGTTCAGTACTTTGATTAAGATTTTTTTAAATACAAATAACTACTAAATAACATAATAGAAACAATTAAAATTTATAAATTAAAGAATATAATATCTAAGTTCGAGCTCATGACCTGTTAATGAGATAAACTCGAATTAAATCAAAACTCATCTCGTTGGAATTTGGAACCAATTGATTTTGAGGTACTAGTGCGGTCAGCTCGCTTTCTTCTCTTCTCTCCCACTCGCTGTCCTCCCTCTCTGTCTTCTCACTCTTCCTTTCTCTCACATTCTCTCTGATTGCACTCCGGGATAAACCGTAAAACCGACTAAAAAAAGGAAAACAAAGGTGGGGAAAAGGAGGAAATAAGTGAAAGAAAAAAAAATTAAAAGCGAAACCATTTCTTCAAGTTCCCAAAAGGAACGAAGGGGCAAAGAAGAAGAAGAAAAAAGAGCCCTTTTTCCCCAATATCTTCTTCACTCGGTGTTCGGCTGAGGGCTTGAAGCTTTTTAATTGTCCTTTGCTCTTATGCAAAGTGCGTCCCTGTAGAAGTAAAATCTGGGGGGAGGAGGAGAAGAAACAACCCCAATTCAAGAGAAAAGGGGCTTCGGGCTGCTGGGAGCTGTTGCTGCTTTTGCTTGCTGAATGGTAGGTTATTTCAGGAAATTTAGCAAGGAGATGAACAAAGAGAAGCCTCCTGAGCCGCTCGATTTCTTCATTTGGACTGTCGAGGTAATTAATCAAACTCTGACCTTAAATTGGATCTTATAGATGCTGGATCTTGTTTGTACATGGGGTTTCTGATTGCTCTTCAAATTTGATGTGTAAAGTTCCCATTTTTTATGGTTTTATTTATTCCGATTGACTGGGGGGGTTCATTTCCCCTTTTCCTGAATCGGGTTCTTCATTTCCTGGAAAAATTTAAAGCCGGGTGGGTGGTCTTCCATTTTCTCTTCTGTAACCAATTGGTGAAGTTGAAAGCTGGGATTGTTGTTTGGCTGCTTCCTGGCTTCGAATTTGAGACAGAGAGTGTAGTCAGAAAAGAGACTTTGTGCGATTCCCTCAAGGATTTAGGAAGGTCTTTGTCTATAAGCTACCCAACCAAACTCCTACTTGATTTCTGGTCAGTTTGGCCAGCTTAAAGTTCGTTCAACAGCGACAAACTCCATTCATATTGAGGTTTGATTGCGTAGACTGTATTGATTAGTGTATGAAATGAACTGAACAGAATGAAAGTGCGGTGTCACCCGTTCAATTTGTCTGTTAGGTTATGTTGATTTGTGGAGAGACTTAGTTGCATTGTTTCGCTACCTAGCACAATGAATATACTAAGAGTGTTCTTTCACTGAGTCGTCTATATGTTTGTCATTCGTTTCAGTTGTTGCTACTTGTTATGGCTTTCGGTGTTCCTATTCTTTTATAGAAGATTTAGGTACTTCGTCCAGTTTCTCTCCTTGGACATTCAACTGTTACTTGTAATGGACGCCTGTTGATTTGCAGTTTCTTGACATAGATGAAAGTTCTACGGCGTAGTTTTATTCAATGAGGTGTATTTTTGTCCTGGATGATTCTCAGTGATTCGTTCCGGTCTTATGAGTTGAAGAAGTCAAATTAGAGAGACTGGTGAATGAAATTGCTTCCTACGTTTGGTCTCTATGGAGCTGTTTTTGTAGATTGAAGAAGCAACGGATGTGTAGACACCACTGAGCTGTTTTGATGGAATATATTGATAGGTTTCCACTGCATAATAGTTGGACTGGGTTCCACTCAAATGGGCTTTAGACATCTTGAAAACAAAATGTAGGAGTTCCGAGTTGCTTCGTGAAGCTTTACTCATTCGTAGTAAAGCAGGGAATAGGTAGAGCAAGGTAGCACCCGTTCTTTTTAGGAATTTATGCTTGTGTAATGGTTCACCTTAGTGGGTGACTTTCACTTAATTGCTGATTACATTTTGAAGACAATACCAATAGAGGAGGTTGGACCTTTCGCCCTAGGCCAGGATAGGGCTTTAAGCTTTCTCAATTCAATTGAAGCGAATGATTAAAAAAATATCAAAATTACCTCAAGCTGTGTTGTAACTTCTAGATTGTATCTCCTTTTTTGGACCTTGGCAGGTGAGCGATGAGTGAGTTACTTACCAGTGGTGAACTTAAAGGACTTGCTTTCAAGTTATTGAAAACATGAAATTTGTTGTTGATTCGTTTAGATCTAAGAATCAATTCTCAACGTCATGCAGTACAACTTGACTGTTTACCAACTAGCAATGTGGTGTGATCCATTGATGATGCTTTAGCTTTCAGCTTCAGTATATTCTTATATGTTTTCAAAGACTAACCTTTGTTGTCCCTCTATTTATGGCTCATGCTAGGATGTTGGTTTGTGGCTGGAAGAGATAAATCTGGGTAGCTACCGTCAGATTTTCAAAGAAAATGGTGTCAATGGAGAGTATCTAGAAGGCATGTCCATGTTCACAACAGAACAGATACTAAGGTTTATAAGGCGGTGCCACATGAAATGGGGTGACTTCATAACGCTGTGTAAGGAGCTCAGAAGAATAAAAGGTTCAGATCCCCTTCCCTCCTTTGCTTTATTCATCTCTCTCTTTCTTCTTCTTCTTCTTCTTCTTCTTCTCTTCTTCTTCTTCTTCTTCTTCTTCTTCTTCTTCTTCTTCTTCACTTCAGCATTGGATCAATGTATTTTGGGTAGTCTTGGGTTGTAAAGACCACCCAAGGATATGATGATCTTCTTCTGTCAAGTTGAAAGTTGAGAGAGCTCCCATTTTGTAAGCTCGTGCTTACTATAACTTGTTCTAGAATATTGGGGAGTGGGGGGTCAATGATAACAGATGTACGATACAAGTCTTTCCATGATTTATCATCTGAGAATTCCCATGCTATATCATCTGTTCTCATGGCCATCTCCAGTTTCTCATCTGAAGCTTTTGCTGCAGTGGCCTGCCTCAAAGGAGAGCAGAAAGTCCGGCGGCCATGGTGGGTTCCATCCTGCCTTTCAGTAGTGCTTGTGAACGTAGCAAAGCGGAACAGACAATCACGGGTTGTTTCCTTGAAGCTGGAACCATGAATGATGATGGATGGCAAGCAAGCAGGAATCCATAAAATGGGATTCATGATGTATGTATTTTGTAGTAGTTTCTTCTTAAGTCGTCTTTTGGTTTTTTCTCCCTTTTAGGCGGTAGAAGGAAGTAGAGAACTCTCCCAAAACTTTTGGCTCTGGTATTTGGCAAGATGTTTGCTGAAAGTTCTTCCATGGAGAACTTTTGTTTACTTATATATGTACACAAATACAACCACCCCTTGTCTCTCTTGTTCTGTTGTTCTTGTTGTAATTTGCTCTTTTGGCTTTTTGATATGTAGTTGTATCTTAATATACATAAATTTTTATGTATTGTTTTTGTTTAAGCAAAATATACAGTGTACTTGTAATCTTTCAGTGGCATCTGTGAATTATCTGTTTAAGCAATACGTGCAGTTTACTTTCTTCTGACGTGCAACTTTTGGGTAAAGACTGAGAGAGTGAACCAAGGAGGAAGGGAAAGAACAGCTGCTAATGAGAATTTTGAAGTCTTCCGTCATCATAGCTTTTTTGGATTCTATAAGACCTCTTTAATTCTGAGCCGAACAAATGGTTGCCTTGTTATGTATCTTCTGTTCTCTTTTCTCAGCCAAGAGAATAGAGTTTATTAAGTTAAGTTAGTACTTGAGGTGGTTGATGCGTTCCACACTTATTTGAGAGTGTTTTCAGGTTTAAATTCAATGGTCTTCTTTTTCCTTCTGATTATTCATAAAGATCCGGATTTTTCTTCCTGATGATATGTTGTGGTCTACTATCTCGAGTGATCATTGAATGGTATGTATTAAGCATAATTGAAACAAGGTGATGATTGATTCTCAATTTTTTTTTTTAAATTTAACAAATCAATTTATTCCTCAAGTATAGTATAACTAACTTGATTTTTGACGATTTATTATGTAATCAAATTCAATCTTTAATATAGCGAGGTAAAAAACATCTGACCAAAGTAATAGTTGAATCAAATCCGATTTAGTATGATTTGATGAAACTAAATAAAAATTGAACAGGATTCAAATTTAGCGGAAAGAAATGCTGATCGTATCTCACCAATCTGATCGTTTGGATGCAAAATTTCATTATTGAAGGATTTGGACCTGAAAACACTCTCAGACATGCCCAAAAATCCCACATTTTGAATCTCCCTTTTAAACGAATCAAAATTCTAGATCCAAATCCTCGTCCAAACCACCATGCGTCAATTTGTACTGAAACGGACCTAAGCAGAACTCTTCTACCCAAACAAAGACCCGATATTTCAAAATTCTCCCACGCTCCAGCGCTACTTTTCCTCCTTTCATTTCGCGAAGCTCTCAAGTCTTGGCCCTCAACCAGCGTTAAAACCCTAAACCTCTCCCAAATCAAGCTCGTTCAACTCCAGTAATATGTTCTCTCCAGCAGCGAAGAGGTCGAGCTTCAGTGCTCGCAAGGAAGGACAATCCACACCATCAGCAGCAGCAGCAGCAGCAGCTACTGGTTCCCCATTCACTCCCGCGACTGATAATCGCAAGTCGGTCTTCTTCGGCAATAATGCAGTCCCCGAACGTCCGGCCACCGGGACTCCCGCTCCCTGGGCTCCTCCTCGCCTCTCCGTTCTCGCCAGGTGCTTCTCATTCTCACTTCATTTCTATAGCTTATTTGTTCAGATTCTGTAATTTCCTTCCGATGTGGCGCTTTGCAAGTCTGAGCAGTTCCGGGGGTTTTCCGCGCGTCCGATTGTTTCTCGTTGAGCTTCTCGTTGTGGATGCTTGCATTGGCTAACTGGACTGGATTTCTTAGCGCTATTAAACTATTGCTTGGAGAATCTGGGTTGCTTCTTTCTTGCGCTGAAATAAATTACGGAGTAGTGCTTCCGATCACCTGGGGCAATGATTTTGATAGCCACGGTGTGTTCTGTTTGAAAATTGTCTTGCGCTGCTGTTTGTGCAAGTTACGAGCTGTTTCAGAGGTTTTCTACTTTGATTGCTCTCGTCCTGCTTCGTCTCGCCGATCCTTGCCCTCGTAGCTGTCACTCTGCGATATTGTGTGCTTTTAAACTATATTAGTGTCTGTCAAACGTGTTTGGATTGCTTGAAGAATTTAGTGTGCTTACTTACCTCTTGAGTTTTGGCGACGCCTTTTGCTTGATTGTCCACACTGATTCGTCTCTGGTTAGTTTCGCTGTGTGAATTGTGTTGTTTAGTTCGCTGTAACTTGAACAATTTAGAAATGTATTTCTATTGCACACAGGATTCCGCCGACTGGAAAAGTTGAGAAAGGGACTCAAGCGGATCCAATTAAACCTGTGTATGTTGGAGAATTTCCCCAGGTGGTTCGTGATGAACAGGCGAGACTGCAGAAGCATATTACTGGTTTGTACATGATCTCGATCCAGAAATTTTTACTTCTTTGGTTTCTGCAAATGCCACTGTTGAAGTTGTATCCACTCTTTCTCAGGCGATGTACTAGTGTCTGGTGGCATGGACAAGGAAGCGTGTCTGTCATGGATGATTTGTGGGAGCAACGTTTATGTCTGGAGTTATTTGTCATCTGCAGCTTCAAAGAACTGCACTGTTCTAGAACTGCCTTCAGACATTTTGCAGTGTGCAGATATTGGTAAAAGTCCCTATCATGGTAGCAGTTGGTTGCTGTCTGTTGTTGAATGGCATAGAACTAACCAAAGAGGCAATAAAGTTCAACAGAATCCCGGTTCTGTTGGTATCATAATGTGCAACCAAAAAACTAGAGCTGTTATTTACTGGCCAGAGATTTATGGAGAAGAACGATCTGCTCCCGTTAGCACTGTTATATCCTTAGATGAACCCGAGGTCTCTTCTTCCCAATTGATGCAAGAACACCACCTAGTAAACAGAGACAGCGTAGTAGGTCTGCAAGTAGTTCGACTAGATTGCATTCCTTGAACTCTTTGATTGCTTCTGCTGTACCTGCTTCCAAGCATGTGTGTGTAGCCTTTGCTTGTTGTTCCAACGGTGAGCTCTGGCAATTTACATGTAGCCCTGATGGTATTGAGCATAGAAAAGTGTATCAGAATTCATCGACTTTGTCCTCCCAAGCCAGTGACAGTGGCCAATTTGTTGGGAGTAAGGGCTACCCAAGGTCACTTGTATGGCGCTTCTCTGCTTCATCCATGGAGGATTCTAATAGAGAGTTTTTCATGTTGACTGATCATGAGATACAGTGCTTTAGTGTTTCATTTAATCCTGAGATAAATGCTACAAAGATCTGGGCGCATGAAATTGTCAGCACCGATGGTGACTTGGGTATTAAGAAGGATTTAGCCGGTCAGAAACGAATATGGCCTCTGGATGCACAGGTGGATGAACGTGGTAAAGTGATTACTGTACTTGTTGCCATATTCTGCATGGATCGGGTTACCAGTTCTAGCTATACACAATATTCTCTTTTGACCATGCAATACAAGTCTCAAGTAAGCAGATCTTCTGATTTACACGAGAGAGTGTTGGAGAAGAAGGCTCCAATTCAGGAAATAATTCCTAAAGCAAGACTGGAGGAGGAAGATTTCTTGTTTTCCATGAGACTTAGGGTAGGAGGGAAGCCAGCAGGCTCAGCAATCATACTTTCTGGTGATGGAACTGCCACGGTATCTCACTATTATAGGAGCAAAACCCGTCTGTATCAATTTGATCTTCCTTATGATGCAGGAAAAGTTCTAGATGCATCGGTTCTGCCACCAGCTGATGATGGTGAAGATGGTGCATGGGTTGTATTAACAGAGAAAGCAGGAATATGGGCAATACCAGAAAAAGCTGTTGTACTCGGAGGAGTAGAACCTCCTGAGAGAAGCTTGTCACGCAAAGGTAGCTCAAATGAAAGATCTTCACAAGAAGAAAGACGGAATGTTACATTTGCAGGCGCCTTTGCTCCTAGAAGGGTTAATTCTGAAGCATGGGATCTTGGTGATAGGCAAAGGGCAGCTATGACTGGGATTGGACGTTCTACGGCGCAAGACGAAGAATCAGAAGCTTTGCTTGGTCAGCTTTTCCATGATTTCTTGCTAACTGGGCTGGTAGATAGTTCATTTGAAAAGCTTCGCAACTCTGGTGCATTTGAAAGGGATGGGGAGACGAATGTTTTTGCCCGAACAAGCAAGTCGATCGTTGATACCTTAGCCAAACATTGGACAACTACCAGGGGTGCTGAAATTGTCTCTATGTCTATCGTCTCCAGCCAACTCATGGATAAGCAGCAAAAACATGAAAAATTTCTCCAGTTCCTTGCCTTATCAAAATGCCATGAAGAACTTTTGACCAAACAAAGTACGAGTTATTTGTTTAATCTTTTCAGAAAGTATGACATACTATTGAATATTTTACCTTCACTATACTTTCTACACAATCATAGAAGTGCTATTCTTTCTATATTGTCTTGCTTGTTTTTCATTGACTGACTGCATAATTCTTATCTGACACTCCTGATCCTTTTTTGGTATTAGGACAATCTTTACTAACAATATTGGAACATGGTGAGAAACTTGATGGAATGATACACCTGAGGGAAGTACAGAACACAATCAGCCAGAGCCGTGCACCTGCATCTGGTGGGCTGTCGGGTTCAGAATCTCAAGTTTCAGGTGCTCTTTGGGATCTAATTCAGCTAGTTGGCGAGAGAGCCCGTCGGAATACTGTTCTTCTCATGGACAGGGACAATGCTGAAGTCTTTTTCAGCAAGGTTTCCGATCTCGAAGAGTTATTTTATTGCTTGGACCTACACCTGGATTACATTTTAAATGATGACCAGCCACTTGAATTTCAGATTCAAAGAGCTTCCGAACTTTCAAATGCCATTGCCTCCATCTTTCGGGCCACTGCTTTTTATAGGGATGAGCACCATATGTGGTATCCCCCTCCCGAAGGCTTAACTCCCTGGAATTGTCAACCTGTTGTCCGGAATGGGATGTGGAGAGTGGCGTCATTCATGGTTCAGTTGTTAAATGAGACATCAAGGCTTGGGGAGTCTGCCATATTAGATTTCCATAGTCATTTAGAGGTCCTAGCTGAAGTTCTACTTGAGGCATATGCTGGTGCAATTGAATCTAAGCTTGGGCGTGCCGAGGAATACAAGGGGCTATTAGATGAGTATTGGAAAAGGAGAGATTTCCTTCTTGAATCTCTTTATCACCAAGTCAAATACCTTGTGGAAGGGAAACGCCAAGTAAGTATCTTTTCTTCACTCTTCAGATTGTGTTTTCATCTATTTGTGTGACTGAGGGAGATTCTGGAGTTAGATATGCTTCCACTAATCTGTTCTTGCAGTTTCTTGCTATAGAAACTGGTGAGCAGCATGAAGAAATCCTTAGGAAGCTTTCCGCAGGCTTGTTAGCAATTTCTAAAAGGCACGAGGGTTATAGTATCATGTGGGGTATCTGCTGTGATTTTAACGATTCAGAGCTGCTAAAAAAACTTATGGTATGTTCTGGTTGTATTATAGTACATCTAGATTTACAACATGTATACTGTAGTTTATCTTGGAATCCTTCTTAAGAATTTAGAATGTTTTTGGTTGCACCTATTGTGAAAATCCTTCCGTGCTGGGTTCTTTTATTACTGTTCCCTCTTATGCTATGAATTTTTTTTACATACCACACTGAAATTGGCTTTGGTGCTTTGATTTTTCCTTCAGCATGAGAGCATGGGGCCCAAAGGAGGATTCAGTTACTTTGTGTTCAAACAACTATACGAGAAGAGGCAGTTCGCCAAGCTTCTCAGGCTTGGTGAAGAATTCCAGCAAGAGCTTGCTATCTTCTTGAAGGATCACCAGGATCTTCTATGGCTTCATGAGTTGTTCCTTCATCAATTTTCCTCCGCTTCGGAAAGTCTTCATACGTTGGCTCTCTTGGAAGATGAGTGTTCCATATCAGAAGCTGAAAATGGCATACATGCTGAACTTCCCACCGTTGCTGTAACTCTTGCAGATCGAAAGCGTCTTTTGAATCTGTCAAAGATTGCTGCCATGGCAGGTACCGATCTACTTGTCCCATTTATAGGCCAACTTTTCCTGATATAGTTCCCGAACTTCCAATTTAAGAACAGTTGACTGTAGCCTAGTTCTTGCACCCAACGGGTTCTGATCGGAGTTAATGATTTTTTCGAATACCAAAATTGGCCGCCTTCAAGATCGCCACAAACATTTTGCCTAGCTTGTGAATTTCCTAAGTTTTTGTTTTGCTCTGCAAGCCTGCATGGGGTTAGTCATGCTTTTTGTTGGCGTGCCCGTCAAGTCACCAATTCGAGTTGGATGGATTTCAAAATTTTATTTCATACAATTGCCTGACTTTCCAATCTCCATTCCGAGCAGACAAAAGTGTTGATCATCAGTCAAAGGTGAAGCGTATTGAAGCAGATTCGAAGATGTTGAAGTTGCAGGTAATGACAACGTTCTTTAAGAAGCACTATCTGCCACTATATTAATGTCGTTATGAATTATATGATTGACAATATGCAAAAAAAAAAAAAAAATCTCTATCGTCTGTCTGTCGCAGGAAGAGATAGTGGGAACCCTAACAGCAGAAGCAGAGCTGACCGGTGGAGAGGACCGGTTATTCCGACCAGAGGAGCTCATCGAGCT